CACTTGGTTTTTGCTCAGTCTCGTCCCCAAGGCGGAACTGATGACACTTTCAGTAGAAAACCAAACAACCAACATGGAGTTGAAAAGGCAACCACTCAGTAAGACTCACTGACCCATGGATGAAAGGCTAATGTAACACGTGAACAACACGAGAAGGTCCTGGACTGGAATGTAGTTTTGTGTATATGTTTGGTATGAATGGCTGACTTCCTTCATGGTCCATGATTGTTTTAAAGCAAAGAAGGTTTTTGAAATTCTAACTGCTAAACAAGAGTACAAGGCTGTAAGTAAACACTGGATCCTTATTTAGTAGGTATGATTTTAGATAGATAAATAGATAGACAGACAAATGGACAGACAGACAGGCAGACAAATGTATTTGATATGTTTAAAAATAGTATTCTTTTAAAAATTTAAAGTGGAGAGTAAATGTAGACCCCATTCCAATGCATTTTAAAATTCCCTTGCCAACCTAAACTCACCGCTAGGAAATGCATCACACCAACGTTACCCAAGTGGCCACTCACCACACAAGAGGAGGAGGGGGCAGTGAGCAGCGGATTAATCAAATCAGAATGCACTCACTCTCAGCTCTCAGTCGCTTACGTCAGACAAACTCTGTAATTCAAAACTTTTTTTTCTGGACATAATATACATATATTTTGCGAATAGTTGCTTTGTCTGGCAATAAACTGGTGTAAAACTGTGATGTTGTGTCTTTCTTTTTGTTGTTGTTAGCTGTGTAGCGTTTAGCTTGCTATGTAGCAGGCTAGCAGAATAAAGTAATGAAGTCATGTGTACCAGATGGAGTGGTTTGCTACATAAATCCGAGTCTGAACACAACAAACCTAATGTTATAGCTTTGTAACGTTAAAAATTTCAAAGTAGTTAACAGCTTTACCTATTAAACAGGTTTGTCTGCCATTTTTTCTGATTTAAAAAAGGGACATATTTTTCACTCACAAAGACTTCTGGGAAAGTTCGGCTGCTGAACTTGACACTTGTGTTCACTCTCTCACACCTAATAAACTTCACTTGAGCTAATACAGAAATGGAATGGACCTTAAGATGGTGTTGGGGATTCCCTCAAGATGACAAGGGCTACTGTCAAAAGCGGTACTGAGACATGTGGCTAATGTAGTTCCATATCTACCTTTCTGCTGCTTTAATTGGAATAAAATAAAATAATTATAAAAAACTAAAAATTAAACTAAATGAAAACAGTTTTGTAGGGGGTTAATAAATTACTTAACCAAGGTTTAACCTTTACAGAAAGGCAAGTTTACATGTGATCATACATGAAATGTTTAAAAAAACACAATCACACAAGTAAACACATGACATAAAGTGTATAATATCCAATGTGATATGTTATGCCCTGAAATTGTGTATAAAATCATACGGTTTTCATGTATGATGTAGGACATGTAGTATTATTTTTTAGTGTTTTACATGATTCCATGCGATAACATGCAAAAATCCATTTCAGCATGTTACACCATTTATTTACATGCATCAGCATGTGAAACATGTAAATGAATTAATTACAAATGAAACATAAAAAAGTGCGTCATGTAAAAAATCTAAGTAAACATTATATCCTGCTTCATATCTCGCTGTTGCTATTTTTTTTCTTTATTTTTTATTTATTTTTTTCGATGCAGTGTAAGGATTCTCCTTTGATCTAACATTGAGTTAACCTGCTGAGCGCTAGTGTGACTTAAGCAGCAAGCATTTCACCAAGAGGCATGTATGTCAAACTTCTCCTGTGATCAATCTCTCTCTCCCTCTCTCTCTCTGTCTAGGCAGACAGACCAGTGCTGGAAGCTCCAAATCCCATAATTACAGCTGACAGGTAACACATACAGGTAAGATAGCCTAACTTACTGGGAAAGAATGCAAACATCTCCGGTAGAAGGCTGAGAGATAGGAGAACTGAGGGCAGAAGGTAGGAGGGTATGGTACAGGTGCAGCTGAAACCCCCCTCTGACTTTGGTCTTTGGGCCTGGGGGTCTGGGGGTCTGGAGTGCACCCTAAAACTCAATCAACCAAAGACACTGAACTGGATATGGTTCTTCTAGGTACACTATAAAAAGTGGCTCATCAGATCTACCCAAAAAAATACTTGGTGGTTACAAGCAATTGAACTAGATTTATTCGACTTAAAAAACTATGTTGATTCAAAGAATCATTCATTCAAAGTATTTATTTAGGTTGAATAAAACTAGTTAATTTACTTTTTACCACATGAAATCATTTTTAGGTAGATCTGATGAGCCACTTTTTACAGTGTAGAATATATTTTATGTACTAATATTTGGTACACGTATCTACACTGATCCAGGTTTGTCAGGCAAACTATTGTATTTTAATATTCCTGTAGAATCAGTTCAGTGAACAGAATGCTTTAAAAGGGCTAATTTACTAAAACGAGTGAAGTGGTCGGAAAGATTACAGGTTTGTTGAAGCTCAAAGAATGCTATTTTACTTCAAAAAGAGATGCTTAAAGCAGAAAGGAAATTTAGATTTTTACCCTTTGTTTTGTACAATCAAACGTTTTGAAACAAGAGGACAATTTTTGTAATTTGACTTTGTACATGAAAATAATTTTTAACAAGAAGTTTGTGGTACACTGTTATTGAGATTAAATTTTCTGAAAATTTGACATTTAAGTGTGTAAAAACAATTAACATTAAATGATACTGAACTTTGTGAGTGAATATTTATAAACAATTACACAGTTATTTTAACAAGGCTTATATGCTGGTATACAGTCATCATTTTTCTCTTTTTGCAAATTCTAAAAATTGTGACCCTGAAGTGTTTTATGGTTTTACAGTTCGTCAGCCAGTGAAGATGCTATGAAGTGTACAGCGTCCCTTACACGACTTGGAGCCGCAACTGAGAAGCTTTCACAAAATAACTCTCTTTGACATCTACATGCACTACACATTTGAGCTGAGCAATGAAAGCCTTTATGTTTACACACGACCTTCAGTTAAAACACTGAGAGAGAGTTTTCAGTCATTAACCCATTTAATCCCACCCGTCACCACTGTGATCGAGTCTGTAAATCTCCAAAAGAGTTAGTAAGGTGTTGTCTACTGAACAGTATCTATAAATTACATTATATTTTGTCTTAATTTCGTACGAAAATTTGTATGTGGGCAGGGAAATTGGAGAGCCATTTACTTCAAACATGCATCTGAGAAAGACGTTGTCTGCTATGCTCTACAAAAGGAAGTCAGTAAAACAGTACAATATAGCTAAAACTACTATATCTGGTACAACAAAAAGATTGGTAGTTTAACAGGATTGTACTATTACATGCACTTCCAATTTTATTATTATTATATTATAATATTTATTATATTATAAATGTATTATTATTATTATTTTGCATAATTGGGTCTAACAGATTAAATGATGTAAATGTATAGTTTTCCACCACAAAAGTGACCAAAAACAAAACTCACATTTCTGCTAACTTTTCCAAAACATCTTCTGAATAAAGGCACCATGGAGCTTTTTAAGTAGTGAAATTAATTTAAGTACTTAAATTAATTTAGATGAATTAATATCTTCACACAACTTGGACAAATAGGGATAGTTAAAAGCTACACAAGTTACACACAGGATGTTTAAATGGAAATTCCATTGATTAATTTCTGGATAATTCAGTAGTTGAGAGGTAAACGAAGTCATTCAGAGTCATTTGGTGTGAAATAGTTCAATATAGAGACTCAGATTTCTTTACAGTGGTGATGATAAGAACCAGAGTTTCCCATGTCCACAACACAAATATAGCCATTTTATTCACTTTCCAAAACTACCACTAAACCTACATATGTCATCTGAGTTTTATATGTAATGTTGACGATGGTAAAATAGTCATAAATCTGAAAAAATACATTTTCTTTGGGGACCACATTACCCTGCATGTACTTCACCTGTATTAAAGAAAATTGATTAAAACACATTTTAATCCAAAACTTTATTACAAAACTATTATAAAACAATGTGTCACATCCGGCAGCATAGGTCTAACCATTTCATGTAATAACCTTCTGTGAGGGAGCTTTCAGAGGCATTAAACTCTCAGATGTCTGGTTCCTCTCTCTGAATAGTTCTGACTCTGCTAGTTTCTCTATAGTGGAGCATTTCACATCAAAGTACTCTTAATGACTTTGTTTACATCTCAACCATTTAATTCTGTAGAATTTTTGAAAAACCGTTGGAGTTCTCCTTTAAGTCTTCAGGTACTGCTAAATCTGATATAAACTGTTGCAATAAACGTTCCTACTGATAACAAAAACAAAACTCGCCCCAATCTGGAGGTTAAGTGAGTCCAGAGAGTGTGTAGTAAAGCTCTGCAGAGCCATCTTGTGGTAAAGGTTTTCATAGCCAGTGAAAGCTAAAGTGGCCGAGCTTAGCTTGCCCATGTGCAGTGAACCAGCAGCCTACAGATAAAGGCCACTAAATGCAAGTAATAGAAAGCATAACGCCCGGTATCAGAAGAGAAACAGGCCTAATGAAGTTTGGAAATGTGGATTTCGTCCATTGTTCGCTAATTATTTTATCATAATTTACAAAGCACACGTGAATGGAAGGACCCGCCCAGGCTGCGGCCAAAAATCTCCTCTGAATATACGTTTACAATCAGTGGCATATAAGTCTGATAACTGAAATATAACAGGGAAGAGTGTAGCTTATTTAAAGGACATCAGATTACACTAAAGCGGTGTTAAACATTCAGACGATATAGAAAGGGCGTCCGCCGAGCTGCTGTTTCCTATTGCACCAGACAAACGCGCCCTTTTCCTCTCAGCCATTTGTAAGGATCTCCGTCAGTCACTCAGTTTGTCTTGTGATTGGTCCTGGCTTGGTGTTATTTTGGTGACGTCGCGTTTTACCCCTCGACCTTTCCCACGCAGCTCACTGATTGGCTGTTTTTTGGGGCCAGCTACGGGAGCGCGCGTGCTATTGGTGTGAACTGTTACGCCTAGCCTCCATTGCTCCGTCCAACTTGAAGGTGAAGTTCTCCTCTATCGGCTCTGCTGCCAGTCACACAACGCTCTTCCACCCGGCTCTCTCTCTTTTACTCTCTTTAATTCAGGGAACCAGCGACCATGTCGTTATTCAGCGACGTCCCGCTAGCCGCCCCGGTGGCCGTTTTCAAACTGACGGCGGATTTCCGCGAAGACCCGGCTCCCAACAAGGTGAACCTCGGAGTAGGAGGTGAGATGCTCTAACGCCAGACCGGCAAGTCATGCAGACTTCTCTGTCATGTTTTACAGAAAGCAGAAACTCTGGGATGTTGGAATTGTGTCACTGGATTTCGCTAATGTACATTTTGGGTTGGTTGACCGTTGGTTCATTGTCATGGCGACAGACTGTTTTAACACAGGAGCCGAGCTAGCTAGGTAGCATGCTAGCAAGCTAACTGACGCTGCCCAGAAGAATCATTGATTTAGGTGGTTGTCAACTAAACAGACTTTTAATTGTGAACTTTGGACTATCATGCACATATCGCGTGTAGCTGGCCTTCACTACCCCTGCAAAGCTGTGCTAACCGTTAACCAGAACAGACTGCGGCTGGTTTGTGTTTGTGCCCTTTCCACCCTTTGGTAAATGGTGGCAAATGTGCGTGTGATGAAAGATCATGTAGCAGCAGAGAACACACAGTAATCCTCTTTCTGACTCGTGCGGAATGGATCATCGCTGCTGTGACCCCAGTGACTCCAGTGGCCCGATCTGGCATCCGAAAGATGGAATAGCTTATAAACAGCACCCCCCCAAATAGGGCTGCGCGGTATTGATACAGTCCAATATCATAATATTCTGTAAACATATCATGGGTTAATGGCATGACAGTTTTGATTGGACTGTAGAAAACAGACTAAAATACCATCTTATATTCTTCTCTTTTTACATCAAAGGAAACCTTGTGCAAAGTTGTAAATGTAAACCAGACAAAAACACATTTTCAGAAAGGAATCTTAATTGTTACACATTTTGAATTGTTCAACCTATGGCTTATCTCTACTCCCTAAGAATAGGTTTACTTTAAGGATGCATCAGACAGATGTTTACATTTGACTTATATTTCAAACTGATATTTTATGTGTTTTTTGTACTCCAGAAGAACAAAATGTTTAGTCGGTGCTGGACTACTTTTTTTCATTTTATTAGATTTACTGTATATGTGATCCTGTAATGGTAATCCAAGTGGATGTAGGCCAGATTTCTACATTTTACAGATGTTGAAGTATCAGCATCAGTGTCAGCATCGGCAGACATGTACATGAAAAACATCAGATATCTGCGTTGGTCCACAATTCCCAAGTCAGTGTATCCCTAGTTTATTTATTGCTTGTCATAGCTTGTCTGATTATTAGCCTTTTTAGCAAAAGAGCAAATTACAGTATTTGACTGTTGGCTCCTGGGCTGGTGGACATGCCATGTGGTAGAACAGGTTTTGGGTCTTACTTGAAATATCAGTAGGTGTGACGGTGCAGCACTTTGTCCTTGATGTAGTAATGGGGCTGTTAGGAAACATACATGTTGATAGTCAGCCCAATCACAGATAAGTGACAAATGATTTTAGTTTACTTTTTGTTTTTGAGCCAATTTCTAAACTGTATTCTTTACTGTGGTTGGCAGTGTTTTAAAAGTATGAAGTACCTCTAGATTTACAAGTTTAACAGCTCTACTAAACTGCAGATAAGATTTCTTCCTTGCTGTGGCACTAGAATGTTGGCCTGTTGTTAAAATGCCAGCCACACGAAACTGATGGATATCAGTCACTTGCAGAATGTTTTCCCAGGAACTCCAGTGAATTCATTTTCTAATATAAAGCGGTTTCGAGGCAGCCAGTCAAACTCAGCCTAAATAACTGTGCTTCTTGCTGTGTCATCAGATTGGTTTCTCTTGCTGTGTGGTGGCTTATACAGCAGATAGCTTGCCATCTAATGAATACGATGCTTAATCCTTCATGCATGTGGTCAGATAAAAGAGAAAGAAAAGAAGAGCATGATTATACAACAGGTCTGTCCTATGATGAAAAGTGCTGAGGGAAAGGAAGCAGTTAGGTACTAAATCCCCATGTAAAATGTCCTTACAACCATGCTTGTTTCCGGTGTTTCAATACCCCTCCCCCTTTAACTAGTTTTCACAAGGCCTGTCCTAACACCACTGGACAAATCCCTTTCATCATAAACAATACATTTTTACTCTCAAAATAGAGGCTGTGTGGGGGGATTATGTGGCATGATAATATAATTATGTAGGATTTGTAATTGTTAGTCATCTTTATAAAATAAACCTTATAAATAGATCAGACAGGTGTGCAGTCAATTTTATTTAAAGTCATTTGTTTGTCATCTTCTGTGTGCAAACTGGTGCAACTTTTGTTCAGCCCAAAAAAGTACACTGTCCGGAATAAAACAATGGCAACAAAATGTCTCCTGTGGTCTTGCTGTTATTGAGAAAACTGCAGGAGTTAAATCATTGAAATAAATTGAACACTTTTCAGATGCTAAACAGATTAGTCTTGTTCTCTCACTTTTAATGATAGCTGCTGTGTCCATATTTAAAGCTGTTTCATTCAGTTATTTGGGTGCCTTGCATAAGATGACCATTAGCCGGATATTACCTTCAGTGAGAAATGTTACCTGGATGGTGCAAATAGTGGCTTCAGACAACAGGCAAAAGGGCATAGATAAGTCTAAGTTGCCTCTTTGATAAAGATTGCTTCTATTTACTTGCCTGTGGAATTAAGCTGAGAGTTCTCATACTGAAATATTAATGTTTTTGTTTGTTTGAGCCTTTCATCTTCGTTCTTTGTCTCTCACAGCGTACAGAACAGATGAGGGCAAGCCATGGGTTCTCCCCGTGGTGAGGAAAGTGGAGAAGATGATAGCTGAGGACGACAGTCTAAACCATGAATACTTACCCATCCTGGGCCTGCCGGAGTTTCGCTCCAGTGCCTCTAAACTTGCTCTGGGGGAGGACAGCCCTGCCATTAAGGAGAAGAGGGTAAGCCACTTTCACTTCAAATACTCATAATAAACTCATCAGATACTTTTTTAGAGTAGTTTAACAGTATATGCAGTGGCTTTAAACTTTTATGGCATTTAATTTGAGCTCAGGACTAAATTAATGGAGAAAACTGCATGCGAAGGCTGTTCATGTAGGGTTGTAAATGCTAGGTTCTTAAAAATTCTTAAAAATGACAGTGTCAAAAGGGTTCTTTGGTGCAATGTCATAGAAGAAGCAGTTTTGGCTCCCTAAAGAACCGTTTTAAAACAATTTCCACATAAAATAAAGGTTTTGTACTATTACTTATGAAAACATTTGTGTAAAGAATCACTCCTGAAAACAAAAGTTGTCCTATGACATTGCTCCAAAGAACACTTATAGCACCTTATTTAAGTGTTTAGAGGAACAAATTTGGCTTTTTTTTAGATTTTGCTAAGGTCAAATCTGTCATGAGTGACAACAGGGTTGCTTTGTTTCAGACTTTTTTTTTGTATCTCACAGGTAGGAGCTGTGCAGTGTCTTGGGGGAACTGGTGCCCTGAAGATTGGGGCTGAGTTCCTCCGCAGATGGTACAATGGGAACAACAACACAAAAACACCAGTCTATGTCTCTACGCCTACATGGGGTATGTGCTGAGCCAGGTCTCTCTGTAATGTTAACTAATATCTTTGTAATCTTTAAGTAAAGATAAACCTGCAGGTTTTGTAACAGGCAATGTTGAGTATTTGGCCTGTAGGAACATAGTTCAGCACACTTTGTTCTTCACAACCCAATAATTACAAGGGGTTGCACTTATGAATCAAAGTCCTGTGTAGTAATCTAAGGTGATGGTCCTAACCTTTCACAGATAAGGTTTTATCACTTAGCACTCATTGATTAAATACTCACATCCTTGTGTTTGTGTTTTTCCCCTTTTTTTCACCTAGAAAACCACAATGGAGTTTTTGCTAATGCTGGGTTTGAGGATATCCGTCCATACAAATATTGGGATGCACAGAAGCGTGGATTGGATCTGTCTGGTTTCCTGGGTGACCTAGAGGTGAGTAAACTGGGAAATTATTTTTTTGAAACATTTAATCAAATTTAACAAATTGCACGACAATTTATTTGAGTAATTCCATTTCAGTTTTTGGTACATCTTTGGATTAGTTCTAGCCCAGCATCGCCTAAACATTTTGCTATTCTGGAATCCAGTAAATAAACAGTTATTATAAGATAACAATTTGAATAGGGCTTGGCAGTGTGACAGTATTTATCATTATGGTGGTAAATTACATAATGATTTGTCACAATAAGCTTTTTTGAGAAAATTGAATGTTACAACCTTCCCAACTGCATGTTTGATTATAAAGAGAGCATCATTATTTCTGTTTTATTGGATTTAAGGCAGCACAGTATGTGAAATATTGGATATGAATCATTGCATTCGTAGTTTTTGATAGCAATTTTTAAATGTGTCACTGCTTTGTCTTTTTTAATTTATCACTTCAGAAAAATTATATATTGTGACATATTGTGTATTTTGAAAACGTCTTGAAGTATCTTGATATTACATGTTTACCATATTGCCCCCTCTAGTTTTGAAATATTGGTCAAATCAATCTGTCTGATGCTGATTATTTTTTTTAAGCAAATACCTGTTGACACTGACATGTTCCTGATATCATTATTCATCCCTAATTATAACTGCCTTGCTGGTTTTGGTGTTACTAGTCAGACCGGAATGTTAATTACACTTGTGTCTGTTATATCTTTTAGAGTGCACCTGAGCACTCTGTCTTTGTGTTGCACGCCTGTGCACACAACCCCACAGGCACAGATCCCACCCAGGATGAGTGGAAGCAGATTGCTGAAGTCATGAAGGTAAGATTCAGGTTAATCTGTTTACTTATCTTTTAAACTTGAGTCACAAATAGCCATTTGATGATTTATTCAATGTAAAACTGCTGAAAAAAAGTACCCTTGTTTAAAATACTCTTTTTCACATTTTACAGAGAAGAAGCCTCTATCCCTTCTTTGACTCAGCATATCAAGGCTTTGCCTCTGGAAATTTAGAGAAAGATGCCTGGGCAGTTCGTTTCTTCGTATCTCAGGGTTTTGAAATTTTCTGTGCTCAGTCTTTCTCAAAGAACTTTGGCCTGTACAGTAAGTGGTTCTTCTTGCCATTGGACACACAATCTACAACACTTTCCATCGCTAAATTACACTTTTCAAGCACTTTTTCCACAGAGCCATGAATTCATTATATGCATGTTACAAAGTTATCATACCACTATAATGTCATCTGAACAGTTTCATGTTCACTGTACTTCCACAGATGAGAGAGTGGGAAACCTGACAGTTGTTGCTAAAGACGGGGATAGTCTGAACCGCGTTCTCTCTCAGTTGGAGAAAATCGTTCGAATCACCTGGTCCAATCCTCCATCTCAGGGAGCTCGTCTGGTTGCCATAACACTCACTACCCCAGAGCTCTTTGATGAATGGTACATTCACCTAAAGCTCCTCTGACATTATCAACTGATTTATTTTTTAAATTGGTCTTTAGCTGTCTGTCCTTAAGAAGTTGCAGTTATCACTGGCAACAACTAAAACACATTGTAATTCTATATTAATTTTAACCTTTCAATTGAGATCAAATTTTGGTTCCTTTTTTGGCCATGTTTTTACTATTTTGTGACACTGAAGCAAACAGAATGACAGTTAAAGTGCAGACTTTAACACTTTAATACATATTGTAAAAATGTAAATGTAAATGCATTGCATTACATTACTAATAAGGTCAATATTTTTTGTAATTATATTTAAATGTATGGCAGAACAATGGTAAGAACTGTCAACTTCTTAGGGTTGAAAACGAATGTGTGAGGTAGGGGCCACCTTACAAAAGCCCGGTGTGGCTGCAGGTTGTCATGTCAGTCAGTCTTAAAACAACCACCTAGTTATATGAGGTGTGCTCCTGCTTGGTTGGAATTAAAACCTGTAGTGACACTGGCCTTTTATCCTTTTATGGATAAAACTGGTGACCCTTGATGTGAATTTGAAAAATTGAATTTACAAATTTGAGTGTTTAAAAAACAAACAAAAAGGCAAACCTTTTTCATGAGATGAGTTTTAATTGGTTTTTTTAATGGACTGTTGTTTTGTGCAGGAAGGGCAATGTTAAGACGATGGCTGACAGGGTGCTGCTGATGCGAGCTGAGTTGAAGGCAAAGCTGCTGTCCCTCGGCACCCCAGGCACTTGGGAGCACATCACCCAGCAGATTGGCATGTTCAGCTTTACAGGCCTCAACCGTACGCATCCCCACCACAGTACACCTCCACACAGCTCTCTTTTAGCCTCTGAAACATTATTGTGCCGAAATTGCTAGTGCTTCGGATGTAGATGGCCAACGCTGATTTTGAAAAACTGCCATTCAGGGTTTTACGGATTTTTAAATGGATTTTACTAATCCTCTGGATTTTCATGCAGATATGTGGATTGGTAGCTGGTTATCTCTTTGATAGCAACTGGATAATAAGATGTGTATACAGTAAACTACCATTCACATGTTTGGAAACACTGTACAGAAGTTTGAAATCAGTGTTTACAGTCATTTAAAGCCAATGTGTGGCAGACGAGTTTGTAAAATGACTGTAATTTTATAGACCCGTGCAGCATGTTTCAAATTATTAGTAGGAAGCTGAAAAAAGGAGTAGATGAAATAAGCAGTAGATAATTCTAAAGTGAGTGAGAATGTTGTATAGCATCAGCAGCAAAGTTCTGATAAAATTAATGTCCAAAATTCCTCGCATTTCAAAAGTGGTGATCAAAACTCAAAGCAGATAAATGTCAAAATAAATACAGTATATAATACATCAGTATTGAAATATTAAATAAAACATCTTAAAATATTTGTATTTTTATTATATTGCATGTAAAGGTTGTTACAACATTTCAGGCTTTTGAACAGTAGTGTGTATAAGTAACTCATAAATGTTAGCTCAACTGCTAACATAAGCATTTTCAGAACTATTTACAGTTATCTTATTCTGCATTTTACAGCCAAACAAGTGGAGTACCTGGTGAAGGAGAAGCACATCTACTTGATGGCCAGTGGCCGCATCAACATGTGCGGCCTGACCACCAAGAATATTGACTACGTTGCCGAGTCCATTCATGAAGCGGTCACCAGGGTCCAATAATAACAACCACGTCTCTCACACTGCCTGCCCATCTGCGTGTGATTAAGGGGGCATTATCAGTGTTGGTCCTGAAATGTCTGGTCACTCATCTCTCTCAAACACACACACACACACACACACACACACACACACACACACACACACACACACACACACACTTACTGTATTCACAGTCTTCTGTACTCAGTACTCCAGCAGCATATGCTGGTCTTATGGTCAGTCTCTAATGTAATACTGTACACTTAATGAATACTCAAGGTAAAGTAGTTGTTCCAAGAGGAATAGAAATTTCGTCTGGTCTTCCTCCTAGTTAAAGTCATCTTGCACTAGAGAATAAGAATGTACTTTAGTTTTTCCTTGTATTGGTCCACCAAACATTTTCAGTTTTATGATTACCTAAAAAAAAGCACTTTGTTGTAAAATTGCAGGTAATGAGTGACTACTGTCTCACTTGAAAAGTATATCTGAATTTATGATGGTAGTTCCGGATTTACTGGTTTCCAACATCTTTCACTGTTTATATGAAAAAGACAGTAATTTCATGCACATTTACTTATATTCTTTTGGTAGCCTGGACTGAAGCGGTGATTCTGTAGAGCCAAAGAGAAAGGTAAAAAAAATAGCAACTCAAAAAGCCCAGTCTTTAACTGAAGTTCAACTAAATTAATTGAGTGATTATCAATTTTTGAATGTTGTCATGAGGCTGTTAGTATTTTATTTACCATTTCTCTGTTTTTATTTGGGGAAACATACATGAAATATATGTACTTAATGAAGGAATTGGCACACAAGTGATCATTTGTTGGAGACATTTTAATATGGTGCTGTCTAGACCAGTGTTTCCCAACCTAGTCCTCAGGGCCAACTAGATAGTCTGCATGTTTTCTTTATCCCTGTGTGTTGGGTTGGAGCAAAAATGTGAACCGTCCGGGAGCCCTGAGGACCTGATGGTAAAGCTTAAGTGTGTTATGCATAACTTGCCCTAAAAAGCATCCTAAGTTTAACCTACATTACTTATAACCACACAATTTAGTCAAACGTAGCGTAATACAAAATCCTAACCAGCTTTTATGGCTGTATCAACTAGACTTTACCATTTTAATATTGGATGCCAGTGTAAACCAGATGACATTTTCACCATAGTCTAAAAAAAAAATTATTTAGTGTGTGTGATTCCAGAAGTTCAGGGTTTGGCAGGGTTTGGCAGGGCTTGGCAATTTTTTGCACTCTGTTAAGTGTCTACTTTTAGGGCGTCTTTGGTGTTTGCTGCTTTTGTCCACCTCTCTCAGTGCTGTGCATGTCTGTTTAGGAACAATTCAATGTCACGAACTTGGGCAAATATGAACACTCATTTCAGACAATTACGGTTCACTCTTTGATCATGTGCTGCTTAAAAATGCCTCTGATAATCCGTTCTCTCAGTATGTAAAATATATGTGTACAAAAATGACATAAGTACGAAAATCTGATCAAAAGCCCTTGAAATAAACATACCATGAATATATGGAACATATGGTAGTCTGTGCTGTTTATCATGACTTTGTCCTTATTTAAACTCCTGTGTGCATAAATTCCAGGAATGTGTTCTGTTGTTCTGGACAACTGGCGGTCAAAGGTTATCACAGCAGAATAGCCAGTGGGTCATGTAACCTTGGGTAACAGGATGAGCCCTGGAAGAGAGATGGTTTATTGCTTTATGCCTACAGTTGTGGTGTAACATTTTTATTGGGCCACCACATCCAACTGTGTTGCATGGCTTTCATCTTACACTCTTAAAAATACAGGTGTTTGTATGATGCCATAGAACCAATTTTGGTTCTCTAAAGAACCTTTCAGTGGATGGTTCCTTTTTAAAGGAGATGTCCGAGTGTGAAGAACCTTTTGAAGGTTTCAGTATCCTCCACATTATGTAAAGGTCCTAGGAAGAACCCTTAAAAATGGATTATTACATTATGTGAAGGTTGTTTACACCTTTGAAATGTAAAAATGTTCTTCACACTGACACAAAAATGGTTCTTAAGCAAACCAAAAGTGCCTCAAAGAACCATTTTTTAAAGTGTAGTTTAAAGCACCTTTTTAAAGTGTAATATTATGTCCTTTTTGCACATACTAGGTTTTTATTGTTCTAGGCATCTTAGACACCACCAATAAAAGCACATCAAATTCAATTTATTGAAATTGTGGTACTTTTAATCATAAAATACCACATCAAGATCATCTCATATATATCTCATACATTACCATTATAGTATTTCAATATATTCCTTTCTTTATAAACATAAAATTCTTATACCAACATCACATACCCTTAAACCACCACTAACCATCTTTGCTGAGAACACATGGCAGGGAAAGCTACACATGCCCTACTTTCTCTTTGTTTTTAGTAATACTGACTGTTTAAGGCTTTAAAGTATGCGTCATCTGTGTGTGTGTGTGTGCACGTGTGTGCGCGCATGCGAGGGCAGAGGGGATGCAGTGGATTTTGTGCTCCTCCAGCTGATACTAGCTTAATCAGTGCTACTGCAAGTCCCTGAAGCCCCTCTGTGTGTATATGTGGAGGGGGCTGGGGCCAGACGTCAGCATGCGTCACATGTTTCTTTGACTGCAATGCAGCAGTGTGATGCAAGAGTGCTGGCTTATTCCCTCCCTCTACTCTTTCTCCAGCTGCTGTCTCCAGCTCTCTTGTGCCATGTGCTCTCAGTAAAGCAGGGGTCAGCTCACAGTATTGCACAATAGAACATGGGTCTATGTGACCTGAGCGCAGCAGCACCACTGCCAGTCATGCTCGTGTTAACCCTCTCAACGAACAAGATGCCAAGCAGTCCATAGGAAAAAGGGGCGTGTTCATTATTACAGCTTTGTTATTGCTAAACATTTAAACATTACCATTCGTAACTATTTCAGGGATATCACAGACATGTGATTGCCAGCCTGAGTTGTTTTCTCTCTGTGCTGTAAACCAATGGAATCGGGTCACATACGGATTCCCAGCAGCTCAGAGGCAGTGCGGATCTCGTCAATGTCTGTGCCTCATGCAGACTGACCTCACCTTCTCACTATCTACAGTATAACATACTGATACGTGCAGGAGGAGAGAGGTATTGGGGGTATACTCAATTAAGAAAAAGTGCCTTTCATGCAACACATTAAGACCCCCTTATGTGTAAGCCAGATGCCACCCATCCAACCATTTGTACCCTGTTGGCAGGGATGAGCTGTGAACTAATCAATGTTTCGTCATGATTATGGCATGCTGGTGAACAGATGGCAGTGATCCAAGAATGGCACCTCTGATTTTACTCTTAAAAATAAGGGTTCCTCAGTGGTTCCTGGCTAGTAGGTATTTTTACAAGATAAAAAAACAATATGTCCTTCAGTCTTCAAAAAGGTTCCACACATTCACACATCTCACTTTCAAAATGGTTCTTTAGAGAAATGTCCACTTCTATGGTGTCGCTCCAAAGAACCCTTTTTGGCACCATTATTTTTAAGAGTGTAATCTTACTGTATTGGTAAGGTTTATGGACAATTCTCCCCCTACATAGAGAGACTGGTTGGGAGGCAGATTTGAGTCCCAGAAGAGCAGCAGCATGCCTATGAATGTGGGCAGCATTCCCAGTGCAAAGGCTAAGAGTGGACTGGATACTATGTCACAGTAAGCCATTCACTAACAATTTTGAGCTTTGGAAGTCAGAGCTTTATATACTATGAATAAAAGCTTATTATGTATAAAAGGGATATATAAAACACCATTTAAGGGTGTGGGAATTTGACATTGCATACCACTTTCAAAATCTGAGGTGATATTTTTAGTGTTGATGCGTTCAAGTTTGTTCAAGATATGGCTTCCTTTTTTACAGCCTAATACTATATATATTTAATAAATATAAGAGGATTCTTTTACACAGTAGCAATAATTATTTGAGAAAAGCATGCCTTAATATCTATGTGTATATACATATATATGTATACCCTCTAAACATAAAATTTGTTGACAACATGTGCTTAGACCTTTAACCGTCCTATAAGTATACCAATAATGTTCACAACTATCTGGATGTGGTCTAAAACAGCCAATATTCTTCTATAAGAAATGAAGAAAAGCCACTTACATCATTTTCACCTTGTGCCCATGGCAGAATCTCCATTTGCCTGATTCTCATTAATAGTAGCTTGATTGAAAAAAGCAAATAAATAAAATAGCACACAGCATAAATATTACCTATGTGGCTAAGAGCTTTTAAAAAAGCTAATAGCACTGACCTAATATAGGCAGTTTCATTCTATTACCTTTGTACTGACAACTGAATATCAAATCAAAGGACTATCTTTCTTTCAAAGTGCTTCATTATGGTTAAATTCTCTTGATACACGTCCAGGCACAGCCTAGCAAATATCTCTGAATTAATATGATAATGAAACAAAACACTATTTACTCAGTCCAAAGCAATACTTAATGATTACCATGTTTTCCTGACCCTTTCAGAAGGTTAGGCCTCAGAGTGGGTAAAATGCCGACTAAAGCTCTGCAGGCTTGTGCTCATGAGCTTTGCCTGGACCAGAGGCTTGTGTGAAATCACTGCAGTGACTAGAGATGACATCATCAACAAATGCCTGCAGACTGTAAACTGCACTGAAAAAATGTTGCGTAGTACCTCAAAACGTAAAACACAAGTTGTGTCTAGTCTCTTTGCTTAGCCCACATCCCAAAACTGGACTGGGTAGACTGGGTAGTCTTACTGGTGCCTGAATGCAGACCACGTCCTGAATTTTTATGACCTTAGAACAAAATATCATTTAACTGAAGAACTTCTTCCAACAAGAGAAGGCCCTGTTGAAATGTAGAAGGCAAGGTCTTAAGATCTTCTTCAGTGTCCTTCTCAGCACACTGAGCTCTTTTCTCCTTTAAAAAGTCAGTCAGCATTACAGTAGGAGATTTCACATTGGTGGGAGTCTGTAGAAGTGTGAGAAAGGCAAAGGCCCACGCTCTCAGTGCTAGGTCTTCACCTGGGACTGTTCACAACTGTCCTCTATTGGTTTCTCCCCATCGCGGGACTTTTTCCGCTTTTTGTTACCTGGAAACAATAAACCAGTGTTTAGGCACAAGATTGAACTTGTTAATAACACTGAATAAAATGATGCATTGGATTTACTCGACTCAACTGTGTACATAATTTCCATGTGAATAGAATAAACCTCAGTACAATTATTGCAAGTAGATAAACTGAAAGACACAACTGTGTTGATGTAATATATTCTATTCAAACAATGCACACATCTGAATCACGTAAATTCAATGCATCACTGTTTTCAGTGTATTTTCTCCAGCTCTGGGATGAACGTCTTCTATAATGAAAAACTCAGTTAGAAAAGTTAGAAATTATGAACGACAGATCACCAAATACTTGCATTTTGAGCAATGTGAATGTAATGTAAGGGTTGAGTTTGAGTGAGTGCGTTTCGTTTTTGATAAAAGAATGTGTGGGCTGCAGCAGAATGAACAGCACACCTCTGAAAGCCTGGCTGGTTGCTAAGATACAGCTGCTATCACCAGTGGCACTGCGGACAGACAGTATAGTGACAGTGTGGGGGGTGTGGAGTGCAGGTGTGTGTGTGTGCGGTTTGGGTTCTCACTCAGTTTACGCAGCAGCTTCTTGCCCAGTGTCTCATCTGATCCATTCAGAGAGTGTGAGCTGATCAACTGAGACGTGGACAGGCCCGTTTCCATAGGTATGGTCATAGAGTCTGAGAGAAAGGGACGTAAGGTCAGTATAAGGGGAGAGATGGATTCTAATCTATTCTATTCTATACATATAATTCCAGCTCCTAAATAGGGATGGCTGCGCCATGTTTCAAGCTACTGTAAACTACTCAACACTCCCTGATCAAATTGCTTTGTTGAAATAAGTGAACACATTTTCTACAGGGAACAAACTAATATGGCATTTTTCTTTAAATGTTAGTGCACAACTTATATTTATTTGCTGGGTTTAACATATTGTGAAAAAATAAAAAAAATGATAAAATATAAAATGTGCCATAACTTTTGCGCAGGCCATTTTAAATTTCTTTCCCCAAATATGTTAAATTTAGCAAATAAACCGTAACTGTGCTTACAAATACACAGAGGTTTGTTCTCTGTAGAGGATGAGTACTTGTCATTTGACTACCAAACTTTTGCCTAAGACTGAATTTAACAGAAAATTATTTTGTGTCCACCTTCTATTCCATTCTTTTCAGGAAACTTGCTTTTAGTTTTTTAAAGAAATCTGTAGGAATACTTTTACACATCTCCAAAGTTCAGTCTTAGAGGCTTTTTGTGTTTTCTGCTTTTCATGATCCAAGTAATCCTAAACACGTTCAGTGATGTTGAGGCTGGACTCTGGAGAGGTCAGGCCACTGTTCTGAAAAGACCAGCAGCTTCTTGATTTGCAATTTTTCTTCTTTGTTGTCTATTTTCTTTTATCAGCAAGGGCTTCTTGATAGCTACACATTCTTTCAGACCCATAGAGTTGAGCTGTCTTCTTGCAGCAGCAGGACGGACAGAAACGCTTGTAGATTTGCTCAGATTTGAAGCAAGAGGACAGCTTGATTTTCTCCTCTCTCTCAAAGGCGAAACAAAGGCGAAGTACTGTTTATCTGATGGTGATAGTTTTGGTGGTCTACCAGGTATGGCATGGTTGTCAGGAGTCAAATTTTCTCCATACCTTTTTCTCATGTCTTGAACTCCAGTTTTGGAAACTCATAAATGTCATTTGACCTTTCCCTTCCTTATGTAAGTGAATATGTCCCTGAAAAATGAATAACCAGTACGGGCCGTTTTGACTGGAAATGAGATAATTGCAATGTGGTCTCTGGCTTTTGCACAGTACTGTACACAATCATATGACTGAATTCAATAGAATTTTGTATTAATGTGCCAAGTTATTAAAACCACTGCGCTGTTTTTGGATTGATTATGTTGTTTGGCAACCAAAGCCTATTGTTAACAAACTACATTGCTTGACAAAAGATTTCTTTATTGTGATTATTATTAACGATAAATATCATTTACTGATTTGATAAAAGCACTAAGCCACTTAGACATAGCTTCATTTGGTTATTCTACTCCATTCCATTGTATTCCATCCCATCCCATGTCCCCTGCTTCTTTTTTTGCATAGATTGATTTAATGATCCCTGATTTAGTGATTCCTGTTAACCTCCAGCCATAACAAGTGCTGTTGAGATGACTAGTAGTGTCTGGTGTCAACATTCCTGCATGGGTCATATAAACAGAGCCTGGAAGTCATGCATTTCCTCCTCCAGCGCCCTGTCAAACAGCCTCTGCACTGTTTGACAGTTTCAGTGCACTTACTCATGTCACGGCAGATAGCTGGGGCCATGCTCATACCAGCCCCCCACTTTCACAACACATGCAGTTTTTCAAGTGCATCTGGTGACTGCCATCACAAGCGCAATGGCTTGAAAAAGTGCATCTGGTGACTACCATCAATATAGTGTGATGGCTATAAAAGTGAGTGTGACTGTCGTAACTGATGCAATGGTATTTGTAAAGATGATGATGACAAAGAAATTCACCAGTAGAACAATCTTAAAATCTTGATGTTTTTGTAGAGTCTTGTATTTGTTTTTGCCACTGCTTAAAGAAGTCCAGACAGTAACAAAGAAGATCTGAAAAAAAAAAAACATCACTGCACTCTTAAAAGTAAAGGTTCCAAAATGGCCCTTAGCTTGGATATAATTGTTTTAGGAAATTTGGTAAAGAATCTTTAACTAGATTTCTTTAAAATGTTTTTCAAAGTCAGACATCTAATTTAGTCAACACTTGACTTGACTTGACATCTCATTAACAAAAATGGCTCTTTAAAGAACCATCGATTGAAAGGTTCATTAGGGAACCAAAATTGTCCTTCTACAGCATCATTCCAAAGAACCCTTTTTGGCACCTTCGTTTTTAACAGTGTATGTTTTGTTTATGTAGAAAAAGAGGATGTTAATTTCACCCACCATTTCCTCCTTTTTCTTCTAGACATTCGGTCCGCATGTAGGGGATCTCGTCCATGCGCAGGAACACAGAGTCGCTGGGGCTCTTCTGCCCATCTGATTTACTCCCTACAGGAGGAGCCAGAGAGCAGTTTATCACACACCAAGAATTAAACAAGAAATACAAGACACAAGTGTGCTGGCCAATGTCCATGTACTTTAAGCCCCTTATGAAGTTTAACATTTATTAGTTTCTCAAGCACACATACTGTCATGTAATAAACATGGTCTTAGGTGCACATTTGATAACGTGTTCATAATGAATATGGCAGTGGAGAGTACTTAGGCACTGTAAACGTTTTTATGCCGGTGTCCAAAATTGAGATTAGACACCATACCACCTGGTTTTTATGGTGGTTATTTTCATTACTGTCTAATCTTGTGTCATGGCGGGGGTCTGAGAAGAAGTTATCTTGATTGAACTAGGGTTTGATCACTTCAGTAAGATAGCAGAGTGAGAGTATGCCCTTAATCAGGACACTGTTTTTATTTGTTTATTTTTATTTGATGACATCGATTTTTTAATGAAACATTTTACACATGGCTCGTTTGCGTTAGTCTAAATCTGATTAGTTTTACAGATAAGAGGATTTGCGTGCAGCCATCTGCCCTGAGCACACTTTCTGTGTGGCACAACATTTTACGGCCAACACCGTCACTGACCCCTCCAGCACTGTGTCTTTGAAATATTCTAAATAAATTATTTTATTTTTTTCCCAGGAACATCGCATTAGCATAACAAAACTTATCAATGCTTCTAAAAATATATTTGACAGGAAACAATCTTTTTAAGTAGTCTTAAAAAGGAAGAAATGTGATGCAAGTTATGGGCTAAAAATATCTCTCTCTACAGAAATGTATTCTTAACTTGCTGGGAACATCTTATGTACACTGTAACTATACCCAAAACTCCAGAGAAAAATCTGGAGCTACACTAGCATTCAAAAGTTTGGAATCTTTATTTTCAATAATATAAAACAAATGATGCATGTACTGTATGTGTGTGTGTGTGTATATATATATATATATATATATATATATATATATATATATATACTATATATACACAAGTATAAAATTATTCTATTCTATAGGCTTCAACTAACTTGTAGGAAGCTTTAAGAAAATAAGACATTTTTTTTTCAATGAACTGAGCTTCAAATGATACCATAATGACTGAGAAAGCTGTAAAACATAATACAAAATGCCTTGTATTTGAACTATAATCAAATCTCAGATAACTTATCAATAAATCACTATTAATAGATGATTATAGTATACCATTTCAGCAGATATTGTATAAGTTATTATGGAGTAAAACAACAGCAATTTTTACTATCACAAGTGATTTGACATTTTTGAATATTAAGCTCTGTAAAATTCTGAAATGTCAATATTTATATGTGAATGTAAGGAAAGGCCTTAAACTACAGGCTTATTATTCAGTTATTGGCCTTAAGATGTACTACTCAGGACCTACTATAAATTATTTAGTAACAACTATGGACTGAAGTTGTAGTTATGAGAGAGGAATTGAAGTGTGGGCCCACGTATGGACCCTTATGATTTATGTGGTAAAAAGCGCTTGATAAAAGTGACTGCACTCACTGACGATGCGGTTCCTCTCGTTGAGTGTGGAGGTACTGTGGGGCTGTCTGAAGTGCTGCGTGTGTTGGTGGGATCGGGTCAGGGGCAGGGCAATGCTGTTGGAGCGAGTCTCCGGGATGGTCGATCTCTCGCCTGTGGCCTGTGTTTCTGCATCAGGTGTTTGTGGAGAGCTGTCCATCCGTGTGGCCGTCAGAGCATTCTGATAGTGGTTACGGGTGATCTAAACACAGAGATGAGCAGAGAGTCATGCTCACAGAAGCACTTAAGAGCACAGCATATGTTAGGTGTACATTGTTATCATGTGCTGGAGCTACGTCTGTGGTGGTTAGAGTAGCCTAAATTTATTCTCAGGTAAAAGTATTGTTACTGCACTTAAATAATGACTCAAGTAAAAATGTATCAGGTCCAAAAAAATACTCAAGTAATGAGTTTCCTATAGCACTGCAGTAAAAATTTTAGTGCATGGTACTTAGTGTAAGGTACTTTTCATTTTGAAATCCATTTGTGAATGTGAATTGCTAGTAGTAGTCCAAGTAAATTATTTAGCAGAAATAATAAAACGTAGATTATTTTCTTCACAAATATATTTTAGTATAAGCAGAATTGGGCAGAAAACTTTGAAAAAGTAGTGATGGCTGAATACACTGTCATAAATGTACTCAGTAATGTATTCTGTTACAATACATTTGTCACGGTCCCTCACTACTGTTTCTTGTAATTATGTTATTAATGTGTTTCATGTGCATTTTGCTTATCAGTTGAATGAAGTTCGAAATCTCTCTGTTTTGGGTCTCCTAAATGTAAATGTGTTGAAACTGTAGTTAATGTAGTTTTTCATTTTTTTTTCAATTACATATTGTCCCACTTATAAAAACTTACCACACTAGAAAAAGACAATTAATTGATAAATATTTTCTATAAACAATTTGCCATATCACAATAAGAAAATCTCACAAATTTGTCTAAAATGAGTTGTTCTGTGTTTTAATTCATGAAATACACAAACAAGTCAGGTACACTAATGATGCTCAACTTATCACTCATGAACAAAAGAGCTGCGTAACCCTGAGATAAATTACTAACTCATCACATTGATTTATTATATCATTGCTGTAAGTATCTCCAACATTATAGGAGAAGGCAAAATTTTTCTTCACTTTCAATGTAAGTTAATGCAAAATAGTTTTATTCCAAGGAATTCTGGAGCATTTCTGTTGGTCCATTCAATATGAAACATACACAATGTAAAGGCCAGCTGTTGTGCTCAAATGATGTAGAAAAATGAAAACTTAATAACATTTTTTTTTTTTGGACAGCGACATGTAAAAGTGTTGTCATTTGAAAATGAGAAGTACAAATTCGTAAAAAATTACTTATGTACACTACTTAACTAGGTATAACCCCACTCTGAGCTAAACCGACCAAAAATTTCATCATGGCATGGAACAATGAAAAAAGTTGAGTGCAACATGTACAATAATACAGCTGGTATAATATCTACACAAGCTGTTTATTCAACACTCACCATAAATTATTCATACCAGAAACACTTCATGACTGCCTGTTTAAGCAGACTGCTTGTGTGCATATGACTGGACAAATTAAGCTCCTTTAAGCGTGTGTGTGTGTTTAGGGGGATAACCTTGATAATTTGCAGGTCCGTGAGCTGGCGGACAGAGTAGTCTGGTAGGTATGCCCCTCCACTTATGCTCAGCTGGCCCAGACTACCCCCGTGGATAGTCGTGTCAGAATGGTTTAGTCCACTGCTACGTGATGGTGACCTGTGAACTAAATTACACCAATCACATCCAATCACTTTTCATTAAGGATGTAACACTTTCAATACAGTATCAAAAAAAGAACATTCAAAACTGCATCAAAATGTAAACTGAAACTGTAGAAATGCCCCTTGGTCTCTTCTAAGGGTCACTCATTTGCAACATGTGAAAGTCACTGTGAAAGATCAATTAATTGATCAATTAATTCAGACTCAAAAAAACGAAATAGTAAGTTAGTAAATGCTTAGTTTCAGATGTTTGCATATATTTTAATTGTAATGTTCATCTTTCAGTGTTAGGAGTTGGAAAATGGAGACAGTCTTCTCCAGGGCACAGTACTTCGCACTCTTTTGCTAAATGAAATTTGTATTTTTCACCATCAACCTACATAGTATATTATAAGAACTCTAAAGAGTCAAGACATTTTTGACACACAAAATATAGGAAATCAATTGAATATTGACCTCAGAATCAAACAAAAAATGCAGGCTTATTCACTTAACTATTCAGTTAATAATCTCAAGACTTTATACAATTTATGGTTGACTTTTTTGGTAGTTGGGGGCTACAAATTGCTGGGTAGCTTCTATAAAAATAATATGTAGAGGTGTAGTGACACACTCAGCTCATGATTCGATTCAATTCACAATATTGGGCTCACTGTTCTGTATTCTGTCAACATTTTGAACAAAATTCAAATGAAGAATAATCATGTTGTTGCACAACTTGGTAATGACACTGGAAGGCAGGAGGAGTGCTGGAGTGAGCTACTGACTGGTGCTGACTGTTAGCAGTTTTGGTGTTGAAACACTGCATGTTGCACTAGATGGCATAACTAAGACAATGTCCATTTTTCACAATGCACTGCCACATCTCTACGATGCACATTGTCACAGTTTTGCATTGCAATATCACAATGTGTTGATGCATATACTACACTAATATGTAAGGTATGTTGTTATGAAAGTGAGGAATTGAGGTGTGGGCCTACATATGGGTCTTTGCAATTTTTTATAACCTTCTTGAAAGGCCTGCCCAATAATTTCAAAAAATATTGACTGAGAGGTTAGACTGACCTTTCATCTCTCTATATTTCATTATCTCTGAAATGTGAATCTGCAACCTGTCAAATGTTATTGATATACCACAGTAATGGACAGCAGTTGCTCACCATCATTCATTTCCTGCATTAAGCCCTCTCATAATAATGTCTGTTTGATTATGTTTGACCTAAGTCTAGGAATGAGTAAGTCAGCAGCAACATCCTCAGGCACTATTATGTCACACACAAGGGATTCTACTGGCTCCCTCTTGGACAGCCCTACAGATGACACTTCCCTTTAGTGAAAGCTGAGTAACTAGTCCAGACAGCTCATGCTGCCCATGCCTATGTGTGTGTGTGTATACTATGCCTGCCTGTGCCTCTGTCAGTGAAAATACTCTAGAGCTTTTCTCAGAGGTAAAGGAAAACAGAGCAAGACAGTGACAGAAACAGCCTTTGAAGCACATTTAAATAAAAAATTAATTCATCCTGAAATGAAACTCCAACTACAATAAGTAATAGCTGTAGCTCTGGGGTTATACATATATATTTTCCAGAGTTTGTGCTTATAAGGATTTTAACGTTACGTAACAACGTGCCAATTTTCTCTGAGTGCCCAAGCAAGAGTCTGCCTTTTACTTTAATTACTCCAGTGAGCTCCCATAAGATTTATACAGCGCTCCACTTATATTTGCCTGCCTTAATTATCTCTTATGTAAGGCAGGGCACGTCTACATTTTCTACTATCAGCATTTTCAGACATGAATGCCTTCCAGTCTTTTTAATTGCACATTAATTTTTCATTACAGCAAACCTCTGTCAGAGGTTATTAGATAAACTCAAATTTCAGGAGAATAAAACAAACCCTTTTTTTGCTCTGCTGCAGGGTAAAAAACACTGACGCTTCAGTAATCACTGCTTTAATGAATTTATTAACATACCTGTGGGTAGGACAGCCATAATGGCAGGCATGCCATAGTAAGTGAAAGGACCGTTTTCAAACTTCAGTCCTTCTTTACCGATCTCAACTTCTACTCGACCCTGTAAGAACAGGAGAAGACTCAATGCTCGTTCAAAAACTTTGATTTGTGACCCCTGCTATACAGTCTAAAGACACTCTTGAGGTAAGACTGGCAGAAACAGGAGACAGTGTTAATACTGAAATATACAGATATGACGCACTACATACGTAAGATAAATACAGAGATTTGCTGTTTTTTTTACCTGCAAAATCAGGACAAAATAATCAACAGGCTTGTTGCGCTGGTAGAGGTAGTGCTTTGGTGATTTCTTGTTTTTCTCATCAAACTTGAGCTCCTGCACAACGCTTGGATGCTTAATGAGGCGCAGCAGGATCTTCTCTGAGAGATGGGACGGCTTAAAAGGCTCCACTTCTGAGGTGAGACAGCATGGAGCAGGAAGGAAGAGAATGACAGGAGGACCACTAGGATCCATTGTAATATGCATACAAATACATAATTAGATTTTGTGTGAGTTTGCAAGCTCTGTTCTGTGGTCTATTATTACTGTTTTTAGTTTTAACACCGTATTTAGTGTTTAAAGACGTACCTGTAGCTAGAAAGCGGTGTGTGGCCAGCAGCAGTTGAGGGGACACCTTCACCTTCATCTCACTGTCGGATAGTTTGAAGATAGAGAAGTCTTGCTGTTTTCTCTCGTGGTGAGACACTCGCCTCTTAGTGCGGTTATCAGCTACAAACACATTAGAAATACTTCAAAAAAAGGTTCTCTAGAGCCAGTCTACAATCTGTCCTTAAGATGTTACTAAAGATAAAGGAGCTATTACATGGAGGACCAGTGACCTGTGATGAACTGGCTATGGTTTTCACACACACACACACACACACACACACACACACACACACACACACACACACACACACTTTCCATGCAATTAAAAATGTAACAGATCTGAAATATTAATGCTATTCTCTACAGGGAAATAAGCTAATACAGAGAACACCATTTGTTTGTAGTATTATGTGACCATAACTCATGGCAGAGTTGATTATTAGTGAAAATGGGGCTTCCCAGATGATCTACTACAAGCACTGATGTCAAGTTTTAGGTTTAATTGTTTACAGATGCATCAGTTCATGCATGTTCATGTGAATTATCAGAAGAGAATCAATGATTAAAATAATAACTAGAAATGTTGTCTGTTATATAAACAGACAACCATTCAACCACATTCAAAATGTACATTTAAATGAAAACATTAATAATTCAAATCTTATTTGAAATTGCCACCCAAATGAATGATCTGAAGCTTAAGTTGAGAAGTAGTCTAGAAAAAGATGTTCGTAATTTTCTGTTGAAACTTCTTAAATGCATGCCTTGAATGTTATTAAACCTTACATGGCCAGAGCAGGCCCAACATTTTATTACACACTTCTATAACCTAAGAATAACTCAGCTAGTTTGCACTCAAGTCCCTGTAGTTACTAAATTACAAACCTTATTATGTAATAAGCCTGAGATTTTAAAGAGCTAAAGCAAAAATCCATTTAGTTTTGGTAGTGTGCCACGTTGTTAAATTTATTAAAGGTTAAGACAATGAGCAGAGAAAGTGCTTGAATGATGTATATAATTTGTACTTACTGTACAGATCTGTCTCATCCACAATTTCTGACTTGATGATCTCTTCAATAACATCCTCCAAAGTTACAATGCCCATGACTTCATAGAATGGGTCCCCTTCTCCCTCATTGTTGACTCTTTGCACTATAGCCAAGTGGCTCTTCCCTTAAAAATGAAATAGGAGACAATGAAAAAAATATATTTTTCAGGTTGATACGAAAACATATTATAACAGACAAAGACTGGATGTCAAAATCGATGCCACGGCTAAAGAAGCTGTCTAAGTAATCAAAAAGACAACTGCTGAATAAATAGATGGATATTTCAATTATTCCGGATAACTCTATTAAACCAAAATTGCAAATCTAATCATATATATTTTCTTGCAAATGAAACTATGATCACTGTATGTTTAAACTGAACGGAGCAATGCAAAGTGCAGATGCATTAAACAATGCTTGCTGATTTTTATTGCTGAAGAAGAGCCTTAACTGAGCATGAGGAATCTCATCAGTGGTGTTTCATATGAAAAGGATTAGCAGCAACAGTTCAGACTTTTGAAGATTCAGACTTGCCCTTATATAAACAGTGGTGGAGGATTACGCAATGAGGCTTGGAAAGCCTGGCTCTGCTGACAGGGCTGACCACACCACTGCCACTAATAGTGCACACCCTTCCTCCGGTAGAAATCTGCTGTTTTTAATGTGCTTACAAAAATGCTGACAGGATGTTCCAGCTGTCAGGACTAGTTACGAGTTTTCTTTTATTTCCAGTTGACTTCAGAATCGCCTTGTCAGTGTGATAATCAGCCTTCTCATGAGTGTCCACATGATTTGTCTTTTAAAAACTCTGTAACATCAATGCAGTCATTTCAAAGGTCAATAAATAGAATATTCTGACTCTAGTGAAATACATACAAAATCCCAGTCTGCCTCTGGAGAGCATCAGATAGCCAGATTTGGAATATCATTTCACACAGAGAGGATTAAGTGATATAATCCATTCCCTTTGACCTTAGTGCAGAGGAGAGCACAATAGTCTGACTGATTGATTGAGTTTGAACTGAACTGTCCTCGTGTTTGGAGTGCTATGCTGACCAGAGCCATGTGAAGAGTTTTCCTGAATTCAGGTAGAGGGCTGGACAATGCACTGCTCGGCCTTTAGCTGCAGACATTTAGGAAGCTGCATTACATCACTGTGCTATTATATAATGTTCACACACACACACACGCCCACCCCAGGGGAAGATGAGTCCACACGGATGCCCCTGTGATTCCCTCTGCTGCTGTGCCAGCAAATGAGCTCCTTAAAGCTGACAGCAGCCTGAGCATGTGCCTGTGATGCTATATTAAGCACCATAGTACAAAAAGAGAGAGTGCAGTGATATAAATATTAATGTCTAGCTGTTAAAAAGAGAGAGACAGCTAGAGCTACAGCTGAAGGGTAAATACTGTGTTGCATTTTGCCAAGTTCTGTGTATGCTTTTATCTTTTTGTCCAAACAAACACCATATGGAGAGGCTTCATTTGTGAATTTCATTCCACCTCATTATCGTATAATAAAGGATAAAAACATAATGAAACCAAGGGTTCATTTTGAATTGTTTTATGTGTCTTTGGGGATCGGCAATGCAGATCAAAATGTTTGCTTACATATAAGCAGAATTTACTGAACCTTGAATTTAAAAATGCCAAGTTCCAGGGATAATAATAAATTGGCTATAATCTAACCTGCATATAAATAATTTCTACAAATCAGTTACTTCAATGATGTTAACGGATGAATAAACTTCAAAAGACCCATATCCTACATTTTTCTTGCTTTTCATATAGTCCTCTAAGGCCCACTTATAATGTTTGTGTGGGTTTATGTACCAAGTACGCAGTCATAACTCTATGAATTACAAGACCATTTCCAACCTCACTTTCTGCTTCAGGCTGTTGTTACTGCACCTTTGAGACTGATGTGTGTAAATTGAAATGCTATTTATAACTGCAGATGAAATGGGTGGATCTAAACGGCTGAATAGGCACAGATATATGTAAATGCACTGATATTCATGACACCATAAAAACAGTTCAAAATGGAATCTTTTTGGGGCTTAGCTTCCATATATGGACCGCATGGATTGGGGAGTGAGTGGTATGTTTTGAAAATTGAATCATGTTTATATTCTATGTCACACTCAGTTTTCCAAGATGTGGGCCCTTAAAGGTATATTCCCAAACTTTAAGATTGTATCAAACATTGCTTACGTGAGCTCCAGTGGTTTGCTTTAACCATAACCATTACCCTTTTATCGATATTTTAATGAAAGTACTTTTATTAAGGTCAAAATAAACATTTTTTTAGGTACAAAATAGAAAATGGATAAATTGTACTAACATTTGAATGCCCATGAAATTCTATAGCCTTATCATCTCTTTCATCAGTATATGGAATCTGAAATGTGCACAGTGCAGTAAATGTACACTTACAAAGCATGAAACTTTTAGGTTACACTACTGAATGCCCTTCATTATTTTGGAAAACAAAGAAAAGTGGCAGGGTCTTGTCTAAGGTATGTCCAAAATATCTATTAATAGACAGCAAAATAATAAGAAATCATAGTCTGTAAAACAGAGAGTGTGGGTTACATTGTCTCCTGCTGATACTTTGATGTCACTGTCAAATAACTTGTACAGGTTGAGGTTACTAAGATAAGCAGAGATTGCTAATAGCGTTGTGATTTTATGTTCATATGTTCTGGAGGATAATGTTCATGTTTGGAAGGTCTGGGTATATTCAGCAGGCCTTGTCTTTGTGTTTTTTTCCCACTGCAGTCCCCACAAGATTCTACGCAATGGTCATATTTTGATGTGACAGTTTTGTTGAAGTGATATGTTTACCTTCTCTGTCAGGAATTTTCCATACTAGCACCCATCATTATTTGCATAGGCTCTGAAACTTTTTCGTAGCCCTACATGTGCCCTCTGCCCCTGAGACACTAGACTAGTCAACCACAGATGGACAAGACTCGCATTTTCCAAAATATTTCTAGGAGCTTAGGAATGAAGACTGTACTCCACCCACAATCTTAAAAAAAGGCTGTTAAACAGTCCTTAGTTTGGGTGTACAGTTCTAGGAAGTGAAACTTTAGCTAGTATAACACCATTACACTGTATGAAATGTTCTTTTTGTGGTGGAAGGCATATTCTTTAAATATATATTTATAAGAAAAGTTCACACTCACACATCTCAGTTACATATTTTTTTTAAATCTACAGCTCTTTCGATCATGCATAGACAGTGGTAAGATCAAATAGGCTATGTTCTAAAGTTTGATCTCTAGGCCATTGCTCTACTCTAATAATCCCTTTTGTTTAGTAAATTAGCAGACTAAAGATAAACCAATATACAGCTGAAGGCACGTTCATTCTGTAGTCGCATTATGCCCATATTAGGAACTGTTGGTCTAAGCAGATTTTGTGAAAAATGTATGCCATGGTCATGCCCAGAGGTACACAAATGTACCAATATCAGTATGTTTTATCCTATGTAATTTTCTCTCAGAGTGTCACAGGATCCTCTGTATTTTGGGGCCATTAAGCAGTCAATATTCATGCAAAAAAACAAGCTGACACTCCTGCGCATTAAAATCACAGTGCGATTACTATTAAGCTTTAACGCTATTTTAAAACAAATGGTTACTACTGCCAAACTTAACTATCACACTTAACAAAGCTTGCTGGTTTGCATGATGTATTTGTCAATGTCGTGTTAGCTTGCCAGTGTGCTGCTGTTTATTTGGTAGCTACCTATATATAACTGTAGGCAGGATATTTCACCTAAATCAGAGGTCACTAATAGGCGGACCGCAGTGCAAGTCCGGACCCAGACGCTGTCCTAGGCGGACCTTGACCTATAACTGATAAACTATTGAGAAATATTTAATTTCGATGGGGTGGTCCTATTTTAATTGGCGTAACTTTTCTAGCCTTTACGTACTGCTTTAGCGGCCCGGGAAACTCACAGACCAACCGCATGCATTGTAAATATCACATGTGATGCTACTCAGCCAAACAGATCTGTGCATTACAATGAGCACCAGAGTGGTTTATGAGGTTTATTTTTTACGGCCTATCTCTACAAGTTCTCTGTGAGCACTACGACTCCAGCGAGTGACGCACACACAAGGGAGGGACGAGGCGAGACACAGCAGTCGGAGAAGTGAGTCAGATTATTTTACATGGCATGCTCTAAAAAGAGAAAACTGACAATAAATGTTATTTAAAAATTTCTGATTTATTTGATTTGATTTGATGTTATTTGATTTGACATTCACTTGACTACATAAGATGTTGATATACCTACTAGGCTACTTCAGTATGCAGTATATGGCACTGAATCATGATGTAAGTTAGACATTATGATGTTCCAGACCTTTGCTTGAGGAAATTTCCTCGAACTGGACCTTACTGAATTTTAATTAAAGACCCCTGGCCTAAATGATCTTATAAGAAAATGCTACCAATATTAAAACCATACGTAGGATACTCAGATAGCCTAAATGATCTTACAAGAGCAGCAAGAGCAGCTAGCAGCATTAAAACTACAGGTAGGATATTCTAAAAGCGTACGCTTCTAGCGTTAGAAATACTAGGTTATGATACTGTAGTACCAATCATGTGCGCATGCGCAGTAGGACCCTCGACGGGTAAGACAATTTGTTAGACCAGCGGTAACGTTCGGATGTGAAATGTTCGTGGTGTATAACGTATCGTCTTTGGGCCATGTTTGTTTACTACAGGGTACCGCAGCGATTTTCGAAAACGCCGTTCATTCTTTCTGATAGAGAAGTACTGACCGGAAGTACTTAATATGGACATGACATAACCACAAGACGACAACACGACTTCTGAGGTCTATCGATAATCACCTCCCACGACGAATTCGAGAAGAGGCTATTAACGTTAATTCGGCACATGTCTGCCCCTCGTTTAAAACGTAAAGATTAGTCTTACCTGCAGTTTCGCACTCTGACTAAAATACTCGAAGATAGTCAAAGAGAGCGGGACCTGTAGGTTCACTCCCGCCTTATCTGCTCCCCTCACTTCACTAGATGCGCGCGCCCGGCAGCGAGTGCGTCCGTTACTTTTTTAAAAAATCTTCCGCCTACACTGTGAGGGAAACTGGGGTGACACGAAGTGCGGTAAGTGAGGTTTTATAAACTGTTGCTACCTTAACAAACACATTAAGTTAGCGCTGTGCAGACGTTTGTCCCACTAAATGTTAGACAGTCTAGTGAGTGAACTAACGCTACCTAAGTTAGGAAGCTAATTAGCGAGCTAATGCTAGAAATTTTGATGTTACTGTTAGCTGACTTGGTAGCAAGAAAGCTAGCTGACGTTAGCTAAAATCGAAGGTTTTTTTTTTAGCTTTTCTAAAATGACACCGAGTAAAAGTGCATTATTTTCCTCTCAAATGTGCTTGAGTAGAAGTAAGTCTTATGAATTTATATTTTTCAGCAAAGTACAAATCCATCTTGTTGTTCTTTTTTTGACATTTACATTCTATCATTCCCCATAGACATGTGCACACATGACCCACATTGATATTTACTGTGGGATCTCTGTCATTCCCTTTTTTCTTTGTGCCGTTATGCACATGCATCCTTAAGTCCTCTTTGTGCTTGTCACTAATGGGGACCCATTACAGACTGAAAAGGGTCCAGCTTCCACCGGATTTCCCCTAGGATACTAAGGGGGCGTCCTAGTTTCCACACCTGCCAAGTCGAATAGCTCTGTTGCCACTGCCGACTCAAAATTGGCTCTCTGATGACTATGAATCTGTTTAGGAAAAATGAAAACGCAGATCAGATTTTGCATAAAACTGTTTTGGTTGTCTGATCTTATATCAGCAAAGCTACATTAGCATACATAGTGAAATTGTTAGTGAGCAATAAAATGTTTGGGGTATCACTTTAGTTAAGCTCCAAAGTTAAGTAGTCTATACACACCACCCCTTATTGGGTATAGGCTTTGATATTTGTTTTTATACATTTTCATGCTTTCTGGGCAGACACTTTTGTCGTAGAGTACAGCAGTTTTACTTCCTTAAGTTTAATGAGACTCTAAAATCGCAGTACATTTGACTGCCATGGTCAGCTTGCTCCTTGTTTGCTTGAGTCAAGCCAGTTAACGGAACATTGACTGCAGTAAACGTTCAGTGTCATCCTTAGTGCCTTACAAATCATCCAGCTGAGCTTAACAGTAATTAAAGCTTTCACCTTTTGATTAATGACTGCAAAACTGCATTTTTCTCTCACTATACATTGCTTAATTTATTAGACTGCTAGTACTGGATTTTTTTTCTGTTTTGATCCTTTAGCCAGCCATTATCTAATGACTAATACTGACTTAATTTATGCATTAAATTGTAGCATAATTGGTAAACACTGCAGTGCTGTGGACGTACTCAAATGCAGTTTCTCACCTGTGGTCTACAAGATGCAGGTAGGGTTGTTCTTGCTTTCCAGAATAATTTGCTTTATCTTCTGACACTGACATTTTCCATCACACCAACTCAAACATCGTATATATTACATTTGGCCCTCCTGAACTCAACTCTTTTCTGTAGGCAGGCAATCTTTTATTGTAATCAACATAAAAAAGAGTCTAATGATATCTGTCCCTTCTGTCCATCACTCTCTAGAACAATATCATGCTGTAAACAAACTCTTTACAAAATTGAGGTTCTGCTTTTTAGCTTAATATACAGGGTATTAATATTGACACTGTATCTGAATTTCAAAGATGATGTCCCAGGGGCTTTTAAATATTTAGGCATAGAGATCTCTTGATTAATCATTCTAATAAAATTATATGAGATTACTGGATTAAACCAGCTCACTCATTTACTTACTCACTGTGCTTCTAAAGAGGTTGATGGACATGCCCCTGGCAGTAATAGACTGGGGCACATGCTCATAATCCACATATTTCCTACATTTGCTTATTTCATTGCATTTTTGTCGATTCCTAAAATCTTCATGAGCTCAACAAAGTGGGATCTACCTTTAATGGCTGTCATCTATCTTATGACTGTCATTGTCTACCTTCTTATGGCTGACAGTGCTCTGGCCCTGGAATGTTTCACCCATTTACTTACTTACTGTGCCCTATATAGAAAAATCTATGCAGGTAGCTATGTAGAGAATTTGTAAATAAACAAACAAACAACCAAATTACATTCCGAGACAATGTATATCAGTAACATAGCAAATAACATTAGTTGACTGAGGCAAATCTCCAAAGTTGGTGAGGTAATGTAAATTTAAATGTGAAATGTTGAGTTGTGTGATGTCCAGCAGTAATAAAACATGGAAATTTGATTCGTGAACAGTTTGTATAATTATTTGTGGTGTTTTCCCTCCAGGACTTCTGTACAATACCTTTCTTCTGTTGTCTGCATTACCTAGCTGTCTTTGTTTCCCAATGTTTCATATCTAATTCTAATTTTTTCCTGCTTTTGGTTGTACTGTTTCTTGATTTAAGGGATTGCCAAGTTAACGCTGTCTACCTGTGCTTTGACCCCTGACTGTCCTGGCTGTTTTTTTGAAAATGTCCTGAAAAGTAAGCTTCACTGAAAAGCTTTACTGAAAAGTAAGCTGACCCTTCATCTTTGATGTGCACCAAGAATCCTATAGGCTTGAGCTTATATATTTATTTACTTAAAATACCCATAATTATTCATAAGCTGATGGTATATACATCAACAAGAAAAAATACTTACAAAGACGAAACTGTTATAAACTGTTTTATAACAGTTTTCAAATTAGTGCCCCCTGAAGAAACAAACAATGTATACATGCACACCAGTGGTTTGATATTAGTCTAACTAAGAAAGTAAGATATGATCATGTAAACAGCACTATTTGATTGTTATGGCCCAACTAAGTTGTGTTCGAAATGTGGTTCAGAACGACATTAGCAGCATTATTTGAGATAAATATAATGGACATTTAAAACATAGATCATTCCATTGATTCAGACAGAGTTTTGTGTGTGATGACAGCTTTGAAAACATCAGTTTTGGTAATAACTGGAGTCCACATTTGTGCAAAGCCATTAAAAGGAGGGCTTGGAGCACAGCATTTCTTAATAATTGCATTGCTACTACGAGAATAGCATCTTGTCAGCTTCAGAAACCCTGGCTTTGTGTTTTTGAAAAGGAAGACAATTTATATATGAGTAAACTTATGCATGCCATGAAGGGGGCATTGAAAGGGTTAACACAAACTTGGTTTGGTTCAAACTCTTAGATGAACTAAGAATGTGGGTTAATTTATGCATGTAAACATAGCATCTATTCACTCGGGTTACCTCAACAATTTCGATAGTTCTACCTGGATTTATTGACAAGTTTATAGACTGCACTGATCTCTACTAAGCAATCATTTTGTGTATGTATGCGTGTGGAGGGGTTACAAATTAAAACTGGACACTTTAGCACAGATTAAATTAGAGTCAGACAATAACTATATCACTGCAGAATTTGCAGCCTACAAAGATTGTTTTGGAAATACCAAACTTTTATCAACTACTCTTTGACCAAGTTTGCATCCAGATAAACTGGCATGTGTCCAAAATGAGCTGAGTATTGCTCTGAGATGACTGTGATTGATTTACTAATATTTACTAATGCCCAAAACAGATAAGAAAACATAGAGGTCAAACTTTTAACCAATGTTGAAATACTTTTAAACTTTTAATGCTTTTCAGTTGCTAAATTTTGAAGGAAAAAATCTTGTTCATCTGCAGCATTGGCTGCAGCCAGGGATATCCAATCCTATAAACACAGTGAATGCCAATCTTAATGTTAGCCTTCTCTAATGCCTGCTGTGCGGCCAACTCCTTAATTTGACAGAAAAGGTTGATCTTGAATATTTCATGATTTCCCCCTGAACACACCCACTGGAGGCAGTAGGGGGTAGTGGCACTTTCAAAGGCGAGGGTTGGGAAGCTTAGTCTGGGAGAGAGTAAGTCTTCCTCTTTTCCATCCTCTGCCCTTTCTATCCATATGGCCCCAAGCTGAGGCACTGATTGGGCAAAAAGGTCACTGCTACAGCTTAATTTGTGCTGATGTTTCTGCTCAGAGAAGCATTCAGCCTTTCCTGCAATAAAATGCTGAAACATTTAAGCTAATGGTAGTGCTTATTTCCAGAGATTTCTTAGGAGTGTCCAACGACACAAATGCTACAGGGAGCCAAACCTTTACATATGAAAGTTTCGGTTGGTCTATGTAACTGTAACATGCTGATGAATAGTCATATGATTGTTTAAGTATCTTCTCTTACAAGTGGATGCACTTTCTATTACTTATTTATTTATTTTGGGTGGAGGTTTGGGTAGAGTTTAGCAGCTCTGCTGCTTGCTGAGTCTCTCAATGAAACAGCATTGCATCAGTTTCTCCATAGTGGATGCTGGCAGTCTGAAGGCGCCACTCTTACATAATGTCCAGGGAATGCTGTGTTTCAGTTGTAAACCCCAAAGCATGAATTTATGCCAGATGTCAAAGCAGATCAGATCTTTGTCGAGCCACAATGGAGAATCCAGATTGAACGATACCATCATTACTTTCCACTCATCAGTGCACAATAAATGTTCTGTCTCTTTAGGTTACATTTGTTGATGTGAGGTTTGTCTGTAAAAATTGTGCTGAACACCTGATTCTAAAGCTGATAGAAACCCATTAAGACTAAATTGATTGCAGTAAGTTCTTGTACTCTGTGTCCAGCTTTATTTCTCTGAATAACTATGCCACCTACGCCAAAGAGAAAATCATAATATGCAGCATCAGCACCCTGAACCAGTATAGCTGAAGGTGCAGTGCAGCCAATGATTAGCGTGTGTGTGTGTGTGTGTGTGTGTGTGTGTTTTCATTAACACATTTTCCATTGTGGGGGTGGGGGGGGCAGGAGAGTTTGGAGTTTGTGAGATGTTTCAAAAGTACATGCACCTAAGTAAATGAACAAATTAGCATTTTCGCTGCAGGGTTGAAATCAGTGAAAGAATGGAAACTGGTCTGCAGCTGTACTCAGAGAGTCTCTGGCTTTCATGTGTGATAAGGCAGGCTACAGGGTCAGGCTATTAATTACATGTTATTGGTGCTTACCTTTCTTGAACTGCTCAAGCATTGCATCAAGCTTGGTATCATTAAATACACAATGCAAAGGATGTTTGTAGAACTGGGTGATGGTTTTTAGAGGGGTACAGTCATCTGGATCAACGAAGGCGAGGTCTTTAACAAACAGAATGTCCACAATGTTGGACCTCTCATTCTCAAACACAGGGATCCGTGTATAACCACTCTGCATGACATCAGACATTGTATAGAAATCCAGGATGGCGTCTGAAGCCAGCATGAAGCAGTCATTGAGCGGAGTCAGCACATCCTCGACCGTTTTGGTCCTAAGTTCCAGGGCCCCTTGTATGATGTTGAGTTCCTCTTTCACCAAATCGTGATAGGGATCTGTGACGCGCAGCATTGCCAGTAACTTTTCGCGAGTGTAGAAGTTACTAATTTCTTGGTGCAACATGTTGTCCAGTAATTTGCTAATTGGGTATGTGATGGGAAAAGTCACCAACATCAGCAATCGTGTCAACCAGATGGTCTTGGAAGCTATTGCCAGTCCGTGTCTGGATGCAACGGAATGCGGCAGAATCTCTCCAACAAAGAAGATCAGAAAAGTGCAGGCTGCGGTCGACAGAGGTGTGAGTCCTAGAATTTGGCACATCCAAATAACTAAGAATGTATTGGTGAGCACATTGCACAGAACCAAGGTGCAGAGCACGTAGTTGCCGTGTTTGCGCACAGACTCGATCTTTCGCGCATACTTTTGCTCCTTCTCGGTGCCGCTGTTTTGGAGCACTTTGAGCTCCACGGGGTCAAGAGCGAGCATACTTATAACGAGCCCGCTGAAGAGCGCAGACAGCGCCAACAGCAGCACCGATAGAGTCGCTTGAAGCCATCCGTCAGCATGAGGTGGCCGCTCGACGACTGCGAGCCAGAAGTCTCTCGTTCTAAAGTGCTCCCACTTCGCCCCGTCAAAGGCACACATTGAATAATACTTGATTTTCTCACCTCGTCGTAGGTCTTTAGCAAGCAACTCCACCAGGATGGAATTTTGGCTTGAGGCAGATTTAAAAGTCCCTAGTAGCTCGATGTCAGAGCTCCTTGCACTTTCTTCAACGCACAAGTTCCGTTTTGGGTGAACCTGTCCCTCTCTGCCAGGTTCAGGTTCCTCTATAAACGCGATCCACGGTGCAGTTGCAGCGTCGGCTCTGCCACTGACAGTTCGGTTGAGCCTCTGCGGAGATGCTGCATAGTACACGCGTAGCATGAAGCGCGTTCCTTCGGTCGCCTTCAGCACCCCATCCTCCACGGACAGCTCTTTTCCCGTATCCTCCGGGCGGAAACCCAGCAAGCCAAGGGCCGGTGCAGGGAAATCGGAAGCGAAGAGAAGAAGCAGGGGCAGCAACCATGGTCCCGGGATGCGGAGCGGGCGGAAAGCATCCGTAGCATCCGCAGCCATGATGCTGAGTGGGTTGTAGAAGGACATTGGCGAGCTGTGTCACGTGGCGTTTTCTCTCTCTCTCTCTCTCTCTCTCTCTCCTCTCTCCTCTCTCTCTCTCACACTCTCTCGCGCACACACACACACACACACTGTGCATGCTGCCATCAGTGTAACAGCTGGAGTATCGAGTAAATAGTACGAATTGGGACCACTCAGCGAGCGCGCTAAAATTACACTGCAGTGACGTCATATAATTTTGCTGTTTGTGCATTTCACGCTTGTTCCAGCTTGTTTAGAGTACGAAAAGTGTAGATCTATACAGGAAATGACCAGTAGCGAACGACCCTACACACTATTGTATACAAACAAAATGAATCAATAAGCAACTCCGTCTTGGTGATATTTAATTAACTCACTACTCATACGTTGATTGTGGTAAATCTGAAGGGGCCAGCCTGAGCTAATCCCTCATATTATCAGTATTAGTCTTTTGATATGAAAAATATGTAGCGAGCGAATAATGAGGGTAAAGTTAATATGTTGGGGTGGGAGTTAGTTGGTCATAGCATTAGCCCGAACTAATTAAACCAAGTCCCTGAGTTCTTATCAAGTTTTTCTTAAGGTGAATCGCCTGTGTTAGACGAGGGAAAACTCGAGCTTGAAATACTGCTCAGCAGCGAGAAGGTTTGGCTTGCTCTAGAGGGGATAAAGAAAATGAGCTTCGTGTCCACAAGATGGCAGTCTTGTCTAGAGCTATAGTCTACTGGACGTGCCACTGAGCCCTGCTGGAACTCCAGTTGACTTGGTCCATGTCTCATCGTACACTATATGGACAAAAGTATTGGGACACCTACACATTACAACTACAGGGGCTTTTATAACATCCCCTTCTAAATCCATAGGCATTAATATGGAGTTGGTCCCGCCTTTGCAGGTATAATAGCTTCCACTATTCTGGGAAGCTTTCTACAAGAGTTTGGAGTGTGTCTGTGGGAATTTTTGCCCGTTCATCCAGAAGAGCATTTATGAGGTCAGACACTTACATTGGACAAGAGGGTCTGGTTCGCATTCTTCATTCTAGTTAATCCCAAAGGTGTTTGATGGGGTTGAGGTCAGTGCTCTGTGTGGGCCACTCAAGTTCTTCCACACCAAACTCACCCAACCATGCCTTTATGGATCTTGCTTTGGACACTGGGGCACAGTACAAAGCTTTTGTCCAAAATGCTTTGGTCTGCTGAAACATTAAAATTTCCCTTCACTGGAACTAAGGGGCCTAGGCCAACCCCATAACATTGAAAAACAACCCCATAGCATTATCCCTCCTCTACCAAAATTTACAGTTGGCACAATGCAGTCAGGTAAGTACCATTATCCTGGCATTCGCCAAACTCAGACTCGTCTATTAGACTGCCAGATAGAGAAGTATGAGCCATTACTCCACAGAATACGCTTCCACTGATCTAGAGTCCAGTGGCAGCATGTTTTACACCACTCCATCCAACGCTTGGCATTGTGCTTGATGATGTAAGGTTTGCATGCAGCTGCTCGGCCATGGAAACCCATGCCATGAAGCTCCAAGTGCAGGTTTTGTGCTGATGTTAATGCCAGAGGAGGTTTGGAACAGTTATTGAGACAGCAGAGCGTTGGCGACATTTATGCACTGTGCGCCTCAGCACTCGGCGACCCTGCTCTGTAACTTTACGTGATCTGCCGCTTCGTGGCTGAGTTGCTTGGGTTCCTAAACGCTTCCACTTTGAATAACACCATGTGGAATATCTAGGAGGAAAAAATGCCGCGAAGTGAATTGTTTCAACAGTAGCATCCTATTACAGTACCACGCTCGAATTCAGTGAACTCTTTGGAACGACCAATTCTTTCACAAATGTTTATAAAGGCAGACTGCATGGCTAGGTGCTTGATTTTATACAATTGTGGCAATGGGATTGAATAAAACACATGAATTCAATGATTAAGAGGTGTGTCCCAATACTTTTGTCCATGCAGTGTATTTTATTTTTAGAAACAATGAAAATGACTGAAAACAATAAGCGCTGTAGCTTTCTGAGAGGACACTTATTTACAAAGCGAGGTGAGCTTCGTCTTTCTATGCAAACTGTTGGCACAGTAGTTGAGTGTAGTCAGGTCTACATTATACTAACGCTATGCTTTTTAGATACTGGATAATATTTAATTGACTGTTAATCTAATGATCACGAGAAACGTTACTTATAGTTTTTTTCTGAACCTGAGAGCGGAGATGGGACGTCATGCTAAAGAACAAATATCTTAGGCTTACCTCGCTCTGAAAGGTTGGGGTTGTGCAACAGACATTTCGTTGGAGACTATTAATGATTTAATAACAGCGTAGATTCTCTGGACATAAGGTCTAGAACTGTAAACAACTTCGGGATCGCTTAATTGTTTTAATTAGAATAGACACTGAATAGGCAGTTAGAACATACTGTTCTGCATAATTTTTGCAGAGTGGAGCATAAAGTAGACCCTCGCCTATTCGGAGTTTTGGCTGCTTAGCTAATGTGTGCTAGTTATACCCGTCTGTTCAGTATCACTGCCACGCAGTAAATCAGCTACAAAAGACAGCCCATGGGAAGACTTTTCTTTCCCAAGTTGCTCACGCGTCATCAGTGTGAAGAGGGCCGCTATGACACACGGCCGTGTCATTGTCCTTGTCTAAACGTCTGTGAAAAGCTAAAAGATTTGTGTCTGGGGCTGTGTATTACTTTTTAGGCCATGGATTGTGTCGTTCCCAGCCATGGGTGGCTCTAAGAGCGCCGAGTGAAATACGCCGAGCGTCGCTAAAATAATAAATAAGTAATAGCATACAGGTTGTTTGATTTGCAGCACTTTATCGCATTGTTTATGCCGATGTTCTTGGTCAAAATGAAAAAAAAAAAAAACGTTAAATTTGAAGCGCTACTTTAGTATACACGTAAATTTGAAGCGCTACTTTAGTATACACGACGATTGGGTGTTGGGTAAGCACACTGGCTATCCTTCCCACCCTATATTTATTTTATTATTACTATTATTATTATTTATTTAAGCTATAAGGTAAACCTTACTTAAACTCCAGTACGCAAGAAAACACGACGGTAATTTTATTATTAATCAGTTCTGTTTTACTTGCTGTATCCGAATAAAGCACATAGAAGAAAAAGACCACACAAAGGCAATAATAAAAATAATAATAGTCATCAAAAATGTCCGGAATATATTTTACTAAAAGCAGGAGATTTTTTTAAATTATTTGCGGCAGTGTTTTCAAATATTTCGTTATTGTTAGATCTTTTTGTTCAAGGTATTCCACTAGATGCTTTTCACTGTTCGATATCCTTGAGGGTTTTTTTTTTTTTACAACTGCTTTAGCTTCTCTGAACGCTGGAGGGCTTGAGCATCGTCGAACTGACAACGGGCAGACCATGTTTTTGCCCTTTATGTCTCTATTTTATGGTAGAGTGAGTAGTTCGAGGACAGTTTGTATGATTAAATGATGTATTATTTATAGAAATGCTTTCGCAAATATTAAATGCATTTAATTAGCTCTAGTGTTTCATCGAACTGCAATAACTTATGTGTATGCACTAAGTGTTTACTTGCAATGCAGCCGTCTTCAGTCAGGCTTTTAGATCTAAGGAAGTTTGCTGTGCTATACATTCTGTCCTCCAGATCTATTAATTTATTTGTTTGATTAGTTCTTTATTCACGTTTCTCTCTCTGCCCACACTCTCATTCAAAGTCAGTCATTAACATATATAACAACCTGGAGAGACTAAACAAATCAAAGAGGGAGGTGGGGGCTATCACCTCTCCAAATTAATTTATCTCAGTCAAGATGACCATTTATGGGTAGACTCCCTGACACTGATGTAGAGGTCGGAGAGCTGATCTTTTCTGTACTTTGGTTTGAGCCGCTTTGTCCCGCTGGAGCTCCAGCATCATGTCTTGGCTGTTCAGGAACACTGCGCAAAACGTCTGAAGGAGATACTTGAATTCAACATCTGGGCCCGTATTTATAAAGCTTCTCAAAATAGGAGTGCAGGTCTAGGTTATGTTCCTCTCAATAAGGTCACCGTTAATAGAAGAGGAATCTGATCCTACACTGAGAAGCTGTATAAATACGGGCCCTGAAATATTTTCTACTAGTCAGTCATATCCGAACAGGAAAGGATGGATAAGATAAAACTTTTTCTTCCATTTATCACTTCTAAAACTTTGAAGTGACCCATGTGAAAATCATGTATTTAGTTATGTGGTGCTGCTTCACTCTGCTCAGTGATTTTTGTTTTTATATGTGACATTTTAATTTGCTTCTGTTCACAATGGCCCATTGTTTAGCGAGCAGTGAAAATATGTTCGGTTTAGCGGTCGAGATTAAATGCACGCTTTGAAAAATGTGTTTCGTGAGACTAACCAAGAATGATAGAGTTATCTTCGGTCTTCAGTTTACATAAAGCACAAGATCATTTAAATAAGCACATTGGGGCTGGACGTCGTATACTGAAAAATTGCACAAATGAATAAAAATGCTGCAACATTACCCTGGTATCTGAATATAAGTATTTTAAAAATGTGTTTACTCTGTTTAGACTGTTATGTGGAGGGCTTGTCTTCTTTTAGAGACATTAAGTGTTCAGTGGGCCTTGCTTTAGGCATGATCCACTCTGTTCACCTCTGTTCTTATTTAGTGTTGGCTAAAAGTGAATGCACTGTTTCATGCTTCATAATTGGCAACTGGAATCGTAAAAGGCTTTATATGCTCTGTTCTGTCAACAATGCATAATGTTTTAGAATTAAAAGAGCACATTTTGAACTGGTCAGTGACTGATACACTCTCGGTAAAGGTATTAAACTGTCACAGCGGTGGCGCCCTTAAAGTTACCTCTACAGTACCTTTTGTTAGGGGAACTTAATCTCGCCATAATCCATTGCAATTATATATTTAAATTATATTGACTCCACACACCCTGTCTTGTCTCCAGACTCTTTATATTATTGTTCTGTTTTGAATTTAGATTATGACAGTG